ATAAATTGACAAGTCCCATGTGCCTGTAATTTCACCAGCACCCTTACCCTTCAAAATCGAAATGCAGTTTACTCACATTTCCGTTTGGCATTAGTACCCTGGACGAACTCTTTTAAAAGGAGAACTATTATTGTATTTATTATTACTATTGTTATTAATACCATTGGGAGAACGGTTTATTCGCAGTTGAAAGGCCTACGGTTCGAATCCCTGTGACGGGATGCATGCAGAGGTTCACCTCTTGACTTGAAATTTATGAATGTTTAGTAGCAATTCCTCTCACGAACGATGAAGGAAAACGTCTTGACGAAACCTGCATGTCGAAGATGGTTCACAACCCTTTAAAAACGTGTGAAGTCCCTAACAGGTATTGGACCAGTATGGCGGACTATGACCTAAACCCTCTCCTTAGAGGAGGCCCTAGTCCATCAGGCCATATAAATGAGTCGATGGTGATGATGAAATCTGTCAAAAGGGTTAAAACCTAAAATCAAACCGTCAGGTTCAAAGAACTTTTCCGTATCATATGAATTAATATACAGGTGATAATTAAATTTCCTGATTTTCGAGATATTTTCATCTGTGATTGCTTTTCAATTAACGTCAAACACATATCACGTGCTCACGCACGATCGAACGAACGCACGCACGCACACACGTATGCAAGCAAACATCAAGTACACTACAGCAATAGCAAATAAAATAAAAGTTCTGACCGTATTAGAGTAAACCCCCAACTAGCGAACCTCTCGCCAACTTTTATAATCCGGTACAGAAAATTAGAACCACTGACCGTGTCGGGACAAACTCCTACAATTGTATAGGTACCCTAAACTTTCGAACGTTGTTTATTCTATATTTATGCAAAATCTCTTTGTAGAATAAGTTTGTGCAGATATTTTCATTAGCGATTGAGCTTTATTCACCAAGGGATATAATATGGTTTCACCATTACCAGCGGTGGTACTTTAGTTCCGTTGTAAAGTATTTATAGATACATATTGAACAACACGAAGAAAAAAATCTTTCGATCTGAGTTGTTTCATAAGTTTCTCACAGGTGGCGCTAACACAAAACCCTTTAGAGAAATTCGCAAAATTTGCTGACTTGATACAGCTCGGTTTGTAAGGTCAGTAGTGGCCCCGATGTGGCAACAGACGCTGGTTCGAGTCCAGTCAAATAGAAGGAATTTTTCTTTGTTGGATCTTTGTCTCAGTAATAATAACACATTAGTGGAGTATTTTCACAAAACCTGTTGACTATCGTAGGAGTAAAAACATCGCAATATTTTCCTAAGATAAATATCAAAATAGGCGCCTTGAAGTCGAATTGCTGACACCAGCCCGTTACACTACCGAGTACCAAGTAAATATCTTTAACTTATTTTGGTCGTAGAAGTTTTCCATTGTTACATAACGAAATGGCATGATTGAATGCTTTCGTGGGAATATGGCTAAAACCATTGCTAGGCGATACTCCAATATATCACTGTGCGAAAATTCGCAAACCCTATACCTCGCAACTCTGTAACAACTTTTGTTCCATTACTTAAATTTATCAGATTTTACTTTTGTACAAAAATAAAATGGTGAAATTGCAGGCACATGGGACTTGTCAACTTATGTCTTAGGGTGACGGGCGCAGTGGCAGTGCCCCTAAAATCTTTGCGATTTAAAGCTGAGTGGCACTGCAACTGTTATGGACAGGCGTGTCGCTTGCCACTAAGCGCACGACTTGTGTGTCCAGTCGCTTTGGTATTATAGAAAATATATATTTAAATATATTTTTTTTTTCTATGAATTTTTATTTTCTGTGGATATGTTATTATTGCTTCTTAATAACATCGAATTCGATATTATTATTACCTTCAAAGTTCTAACATCTCTGAAAAACAAAACAATTTGGTTGGACCTCAATTCTAATATCAGTCGAGATGAAGTTTTATTCGAAATGAAATGTCAATATGTCAATAGCAAACAATTTTGACAATTTCATACGTTACTTGATATCGAACGATATGACAGTTGGGGCCGATTCTAGTTTGTCTTTGAATTAAAAATAAAAACTAGGGTAGTGTGACATGCGTGAGAAAAGTTTTTATTTGCCGCCATTTCGCCAGTCGTAACATGCGATTCCTGAGCACATCACAGAGAGCTTATAATACGTGTGTGGATAAAGCAGTGTATGCAACTGTAATTAGGCATTAAAACATCGTGTTTTAATGTCTTTCATTGTGTAACAGTCACATAAACGACTATTTTTTTACATGTAATTCATGTGAAACCCAAGGGCTATTTTTAATTATAAATTCTACAACTTCTCGGTAGGGAAATTGTGGAAACGGAAATAATGAGGTCTCACAGATACTTCAAATATTTACTTAGGACTCACCAGCTACGCCTCTGTGGCAACCCTTGGTTAATGTATTGCAAATATTGTTGATTCGGAAAATTACGCCACAAATTATTTGCCTGGTAAATACGTTTCGCAAGTCAGTTTGAAATCTTGCAAGATATAGTCTTTATTGCACCTAACAAATATTATTCACACAAAAGGTGAGCTTTAAGTTTTATGCAGTAGAGATTCTTGTGGAAGAGTTTGTCCAGGGAAGTACTGCCATCTTACCTATTTCTGCCGCCAAGCAATAGAGCATTACTGCGTTCCGCTTTTGAACGGTACTGGTGACATGGAGTTTGGCAACTTACGTCTCGGGACGCCTGGCGCAGTGGCAGTGCTGCTCAGATCTTTGCGATTCAAAGCCCTGAGTGGTACTGCGACAAAGGATAGGCGTGTCGCTTATTACCAGGTGCACGACTTGTTCGTCCGGTCACTTAGTATCTTATAAAAAAATGGCAAAGATGGACTTATCTCTAAAATAGTTCTTTTCCAGCATTGCGAACAAAGGTCATAAGCGGACAACAGCTTGTAAGAGAGAAAGATGGAGAAGTAATGAAGTAGCAGATAAATAAAAAACACTAGTAATTACATAGGTATTACATACACAAAATATACAAGATACATTGACCTACCAAAATAAGGTATGATAAATAAGATAAATTTATTTCAATATAACTTAATATATTACAATACACGGAAAACAAATGTAAATATAGCTATGGTAGTGTTAAAATAAAGAATAAGAAAGGAACCTAAATTACATAATCTTAACAATAAAAGAATCAGTAGTTATAAATTAATGGTTACCTATATAAAAATAATTATGAAACAACTTCAAACAAGCCCTCTGTTTCATGTACATAAGTTTTACTCTTAAGCCAGGATTTGACATTAACATACACACACATATACTAATATATAAAATATAATTATATTGACGAGCTCGGTGGCCTAACGGTTTTGTATACTGTGGACGCTGGTAGAGGAAGTCCCGAGTGCGATTTCCACTAGGACCAAATCTCGAAGTGAACTTTTCTAAATTGGTCCTCGTCTGGGTGTTCAGGGAGTGTCCCAGAGTGAATTCGTTAGTTTGAGACCAGGTAATTAGTGTGGTTTTTTGGCTCATCTGGCACTTATACAGGGTTATTTTTAAAATATTAACAACCTAACATAATAAACAAGAACTTTTGTTCCATGACTTTTTACAAAACATAATAAGTTTACCAAAAATAAAATTTTCAATTTTTGTTGTTTTATCTGACACTTATTAGGTCTGTATTTGGTAGTAAGTTAAGTTCAAACGTGCAAACGTCCTCCGCGCCCGCGACGAAATTTGACGAATTGCTAAAAATCATGGAACAAAAGTTGTTGTTTATGATGTTAGTAATATAGTCCTATGAGGTTGTTAGTATTTTACAAACAACCCTGTATAAAACATAAACAATACGATGATTACAAAGAGAGTTCAGCAAGAAAGTATGCTATCAACATTTTCTTGAAGGAATCAATCGACGGGCTAGGTTGAATGTGGGAACTGGGCAAGGAGTCCGTTCTGAACCCTTGTGGGAAGGAAAAGAGTTGGAAATTTGTATGGTACGGATGGGACGAACGAGCATCAACAAGACAAGCGCACCTCCTCTGGTGAAACAGTGACTTAAGTTACATTTGTAAAATTTGCAGAAAATGTATTAAAAGTTTTGTATTTTGGGCTACTGAGCACATTTTACAGCTACTTCAATACGCATTACGCCCTCTATAGAAAAATGAGGGAATGCATAATGCGTCCCTGTTCTTCCGTATAAATTGCGTTTCAAAAATGGTTTGGGTCACTATTTTTTGCAGTTAAGTCTATGTTTTACCGGAGGTGTGACATATATGGAAATTGTGAGAACGCAAGACTTTTCCGCTAACCATAACATTATCTTCATAAAAAAGGATTACAACGGTATCCGCAAAATTGTGAAAATAAATTCTGTGCCTCTAGTTCCCTGAACGCCAGCTTGGGTTTTTTCAAGGCGAGTGCGAATAGGTGTTATATAGGTATGCATGCTCCATCGGCGAACTCATCGTTACATTGTTACTTTTCATCAGGTGAGATGAAGGTCAAATGCGCACTTTTTTTATGAGGAAGAAAAATGTGAAATCCGTCTATTATCATTAAGTTTTTTTTTATTATATCAAGTGACGGGACGAACTATAGTGCGCCTGATTGTAAGCTACACGCCTGTCCATAAAAGTTGTGCCACTCAGAGCTTTAAATGGCAAAGATCTGATGGGCTGTCCCATCGCGCCCAATGCTCACATTACTGCTTGAAATAGAAATAGAAAATGGTCAGGACCTAAACTCGGTCCCTGCTGCTTGTACAGGTTGTAGTGCCCTTCCCGCATATCCAAGAACAACTTCATCAACATAAGGAGGGTCACTATAACCAAAACACATGTCGAAAGATACGGGACTGCTCCTGTGATGGATAGACGTGTCGCTTACCCACATGTGCACGATTTGTTCGTCCTGTGTCGCTTGCTATCATAAAATCAAGAATACCATACCGTCCGACTCTCCAAAAATTAAGCAATATGAAGGTTTATTTCGATTGTTACAGTTGGACAATGTCCAGATGTTGGACAAATACAACCTCCGGAACCCGTCCAAGGGGACGCTGTTCTTCGCCACCACGCATCTCATATTCGTCGACCACGAGATGAGGAAGGAGACATGGGTAAATAACAAAATAATTTCTATTTTATCTCACTGAGACGACATTAATCCACCAGAGTGGATGATGGATCCAGTAATAGCACAGAACACACTTTATTATGCCATGTTTGTTACATAATTTATTTCAGTTAATAAGTAGTAGTAAATTATTTATTAACGTTTCTTATGTCTAGTCGTATTGGTTATATTAGACACGACGAAATTTAGCAGCGATACAAACGCGCTATTGCATCGTGGCACTAGCGATTTAGGCGCCGTGCAAACGTGTATCTTGTGTTGGACACAGACAACCGGCATCTAGAAGCGAATATTCTATTTTCTTACAATTTGATATGAAGTCAACACAGTTGCCGGTTGCAGCAGTCGGACACTGTCGCCGGTAACCGCAACTGCAATTTGTATGAAAATGGAATATTCGCCTCTATACTTTAGCCAAATTCGATGTAGAATAAATATCAACAAACAAAAACGTATCAACGCTGGACAGGTAAATCGTGTAACGTGCATTTGAAAAATATTACAGAAGAGCTATTTAAAGCATTTTTTTAAGGAAAATATAAATCACAACTCTAATTTTATTTGTTATATGGAAATGCCGAAACTCTCTAGTTTTCCATTATAAACAGGATATTTTTTTCCTTTAAAAAATTGCTTTAAATCGCTCTGCTGTAATATTTTCCAAATGCACGTTAGACGTTTTATCTTTCCAGTGTCGAATGCTTTTTTCGGATTTGCACTTCTGTCTGTTATTTCAACAGTATTCCCTGAAATTCGATTAGGCTATTCATAATACTAGCTTTGAAGTCATGTTTGTGATGAATTTTGTTCAACAAAAGTTATTGTGGTGTTTTCGAGGAGAAAATTGGAAAAACGTTATCAGCACGAACTTTCGTTATGGAGAAAAATATTAGTAGTGTGGAATAATTGTTTTATGTGAATTTTTAAAGCGAATTTTTTTTTTCTAAGTAATTTTTTTTGTAATTCCCACTTCCAAGTTCATACGACATACGAGGATATATACGATGGCTAATTCACGTGGAGATACGTATAAGGTAGGAGGCTCTAGTTCTTCCTCTCTGCCCTGCTTTTATCTAAATAATAGAGATGGACATGTTTTCTGGAAATTCAAAATGCGTAATTATTTGATGCATAAGGATTTATGGGAAGCTATAGAAGAGTATCCCGTTGGCCATAATATTTCTGCTGAAGTTATGTCGAAAAACGATAAAAGGGCCTTGACGGTAATGTGCCTCACAAAAATAGCGTCGAAAGCCTGGACTGCTTTACAAAATGCATTCGAGGACAAAAGTATGGGTCGTCGCTTTTATTTAGAAAGAAGAGCGTTTAGGCTTGGCCTCAGTGATTTCCCTGATATAGAGACGTATATAAATGCAGTGATGTTGACTGTACATGATCTATCTGGTATAGGGAAAACCATAGAAGATACATCTGTAGCGGCTGTTTTACTCGGAGGACTTACATCCTGGTTTGATCCGTTGATTATGGCCCTAGAAAATACCAATCAGAACGTTACTGCAGCTCTAATAAAGACTAAGCTTCTAAACGAATTATCGAAAAGCGTAGATTCGATCAAAAATGATTCTGCTCTGCGTTCTAGAAATATTAAATCCAGAAGACCTAAGAAGCCTATTGTTTGTTATGACTGCAAGGAACCTGGTCATAAGCGACCAGATTGTCCGTTGCAGAAGAACAAGAAAAAGGCGAAAGAATCGCCTTCATTAGTAGCTCTTGGTACAAAAGTAGATGTCAGTGACAATTACTGGACTATAGATTCAGGAGCCACTAGGCATATTACGTCGAACTTAGAGTAGTTTGGTACCAAAATTGATTGCGGCGGTATAGGAAATATTCCAATTAATACTGTGTCTGCTGTTAATAAAATAAAACGACGTAGATAGAGAGCTTCCTTAACTGCATCAGTGAGCGTCATGTACTCTGCTTCCGTCGAAGCAACCCACGGTGGCATTGTCTTTGAGGGAAGCAGAGCGCATGGCGCTCACTGATGCAGCTAAGGAAGCTCTCTATCTTCGTCGCTTTTTTTTCGCGAAGTTGTGTATCTACGTCGCTTTATTTTATTAACAGCAGCGAATGTGAGCATTACTGCGTTGGGAAGGGTAAAATTACAGGCACATGGGACTTGTCAACTTATGTCTCAGAGTGACGGGCGCAGTGGCAGTGCCCCTAAAATCTTCGCGAATTAAATATCTGAGCGGCCCTGCAACTGTTATGGATAGGCGTGTGGCTTATCATCAGGTACACGATTTGGTTGTCCCGTCACTTAGTATTACATAAAATATTGCTTAGTACGCTACCATCGTTCTCATTTACCGATGAACATTTGGCCAAAAAAGGAGCTTATTTTTCATTGAGTGATCGAATATGATATAATATCCAGAAACATTTTGTATTTAGAAAACGACTATACACATTTCTGTCGCTCATTTGATTGTTTGCTCTAAAGAAAAAATAAACAACAATGGCCCAGACCGAAATAGGGAGAAATCTTTGTATGATCGATATTTTTATTTCTCTCGTGAGTTTGGGTGTGTACACTTTGATTAAAAGACGGGATGTTTATTTCGTAAAAGCGCGTTGACATTAGACTATAATTCCGAATTCATAAACGTGACAATCAAGGCCTCAGATTGTTTTTCTTCATGAAAATGAAGAAAAATAATTGAAAACGACGTAATTTTAATTTTTTAAGGTATAACAATGAAGTGTCAAACAAAAAAATCATGCATCTTTTAAGTGGAGCCTCCAATACTTCAACAACGCGTACACTCCTCCCCGCCTCGCTGGAGAATCATTAGTCAATCAATTTTCGTCGGCTGAAAATACTGAAACAGCAGTGAATTTCAGATATTTCGAAAAATTCACGGTATCTTTTCAGCCTTTTACAACTGCTTCTTTCACATACTTTCTAAAAACAAAACTCGTGACTTCGGTATTCACGGTTCCCTGTGGGTCCATAATTAATGTAGGTAATCGCGAATGACGTCATGTCGTTCCGTATGTACCTACGTATAATCCTTTGTAATAGGTCGAGGAAGTGTATATTAGCCGTTTTAGGCATTTACACTCCGTCTGACACAAAGGGTCAAAAGGACTTAAAATATGGACCGCGTCGTATGTTTCGGGTGGCAGTTATAAATATTAAATGGAGGGTAGATTGCCTGCTCTTTATGAACGCTACGTTGTTATCATGATGGTCTGCGTAAATGTTATGGATGACACGATATTATTTCCCTGTTAATCTATATAAGTAGATAGATTTAGACACAGTCAATCGTGACCATGGGACCTTTACAGATTGATCCCGTGGTCACTGCTAACTGACAGTCAATCGTGACTATTCATGGGATCTTTACAGATCAATCCCATTGCCACATCTGACTGACACAGTCAATCGTGACCGTAGGACCTTTACAGATTGATCACATGGTCACTGTTGATTGTCATTGTCAGCCGTTACCATGGGACCAACGAAACGTTGGTTTGTTTGAAAAAACCAATAAAGCGACTTAGATCCGAAAAAAATGATTTCATTTCCAATGGATGGATTTGATTTTTGTTGAGATTATTGCTTTTCGTCTATTCTAATGGTGCACATCGTCTTTCTTTTCTACGATTACCTGAGACCAAAATAAGAAGAGGTTTTAAACTAACCAACGTTTTTTGCCCTTTGCAGGTCCCATGGTCACAGCTGACTCAGTTAGTATACACGATTTAGGACCGAAATAATAGTTTCATTTCCAATGTGTAACGATCGCGAAAACTTAGTACTCTATAGGTAGAGTTTATTTGCCTAACGTTCATGTAATACACATAGAGTGAATAATGCCTCTGTCTGAAATCCCATAATTATTAAAAAGAAATTCCATAAAATCCCCTAATTATCAAAATTATTATTATTACGTACACACTCATAGTCGGGAAACCCTGAGTCGCGAGTACCAAGGACACACACATAGACTACCACAAATTACACCCAAACTCACGAGAGAAATAAATGTAGGTCATACGTGGGGCGCACTATAAGTTTCCGGAATGAATAAGAAAAAATACTATAAATGGTCAGAAATTAATTTATTGTTTCTCAAAATATTTTCCGTTAGCGTTAATACACTTTTTCATACGAATGAACCAATTTTGAAGTAGTTTATGCTACTCCTCCGTGACAATCTCCGAAACATACTTTTTATACTCTTCGACAACCTCATCAAGTGATGAAAATCGTTGACCGCGTAACTAGTTAACTAGTTCTTAATTTTTGGAAATAAATAAAAGTCACAAGGTGCCAGGTCGGGACTGTACGCGGCTCATAATGTCAACGTTGTTTACGTTCAAAAATTCATTTGTCTATCTGGCCGTGTGAGAACTGGCATTATCGTGGTGCAAGATGATACGGCGTTTACGGCTATTTTTACGGAGTTTGTCAATAACTTCCGGCAAACAAATGGTCGTGTACCAATCACTATTCACGGTACAACGATTCTTCAAAGCAACAGTAGCCACGTAACCAGTTTTATTAGAAAAAGAAGCAATCATACGCTTAGAGGTACTTTGCACGCGCACCACTTTGATTAGTTTCGGCTCATCTCGAAAGACCCACATTCTCGATTACTGCTTTGTTTTGGGATCGTAACTATAAATTTATGTTTCGTCACCTGTTACTATGTCCCCAACACCACCAACCACCAAAACCACACCAAATTTGACGCCCCTTCGTTGAATCTGGTAAACATGGCATTGCTCCAAGTGACGCGATCCGTTTTTTGAGCCTCAGTCAAATTATGCAGGATCCACCGAGAGCACAGCTTTTTCACACCTAAATGTTTGTGTAGTATTGATTATATTTGACTCATGTCTATGTCTAAATATGCTCGAATCTCATGGTATGCCACATGACTGTCTGTTTTGATCATACGGCGCACAGCATCGATGTTTTTGTTGTTCACCGCAGTGGACGGACGACCATCACGAAATTCGTCACTAAGATTCACACGACCGCGTTAGAATTCTCCAAACCAGCTATAAATAGTCATCTTGCATGGTGCTTCATTGCCAAAAACAGTTTGAAGCCGAGTGAAGCTCGGCTGAGCTGTTAAATTACACTTAAAGTTGTAGAAAATCATACTACGAAAATTTTCACGAGTTAAATCCATGGTGATATAGACAACCAATTTCTAATAACGCCAGTGTAAAAACAAGTGACAGTCAGATTAAACAAACTGTATTCTACAGCCAAAGAGTTCCATTTTCAAACGCTGTAATTACTTTTTAAATATCGTTTATGTAAGTGGCCAGTCCCGGGACTTATAGTGCGCCCTATGTACAAATATTTCTCCCGGCTCGCGAATCGAACCTGGCACCACTACATGGCAGTCCAATGTGGTAACCGAAATGGTAAAAAGTGCTGTCAGTTTAATAAATATATATACAGTATCTGCTCGACACAAACATCTTTTCAGAATGAGAGCAGGGATTATGAACTTCACTCGGTTTTCCTTTATCGAAAAGCTCATGGTAAATTTCAAATTAAATTTCGCATGTAAATTCCGAAAACTCAGATGTGCAAGCCCGGAGTCGAACCCACGACTCTTGGCGTGAGGGCCGGTAGGTCAAACATTAACCATCAATTGGCTACCACGGTTTTTTATTATGGTTCATTTAAAGAATAATAATATTTATATATGTATGTTTGTACCCTCTTTCCTACAAAAAAGAATCATAAAAATCGGTTCATAAAAGAGTAATTACGTAACATACCCACTAAAAAGCCGAATTGAGAACCCCCTACTTTTGAAGTTGGTAAAAAATACAGTCGAATTGAGAACCACCTTTTTTGAAGTCGGTTAAAATTTGGCTCTTATCAAGAGGAACTTAGTGGATTCAATCACACTCTTGATTGAATCAATTTGTAATTGATAAGCTCAGATGGTTTTAGTCAGATTTTTTTCGGTGTACGTATACGTATTGCGAAGAGAAATAATAACGCGCACACACTAAGCTATGTTATTGAATATATTTTCGGATGAATTATCAGCACTGGGCCGTCAAACCAGAGCTATTTACCTGGCCAGTGCCCTACAGTATAAGCAACCCAATATGAAAAAGAAATAGCAAACATTTTTCTTTTTTTTTCAAATCAAAGTGACGAGGTTCTCAATTTGATTTGATTTTTTTGTGTGTGTATGTGTGTGTGTTTGCGAATCGATTTCGATTATTCTTTTTTTGTTAGATGGGATCTTAGTTGTGAACTCATTGAAATTAAAAAAAATATTCCACCTCTAAGGGTCAAGTAGCCTGAAATAAATAAATAAAATATGATTAGTTTTAACGAGGAATTCTACATGGGTTTCAATTGCCGTTGAAGACACCGCGGTAACTAAAACGTCGAAAGCAGATAGGCTAACTTTTAATAACGGTTTTTTTTAAACCCGTATACCGCTCCGTTCGCTGTACCAGTGATTTATGTGAAAGAGGAAAACATATAACTGTTGTGTGAAACTTTAAAAGCATAACAAGAAAAGTAGTTTATTCTCGGGTCGACAGCTAAAACTGCCCGCGGGCAAAAAGGCCAAATGTATACCGGGCATTAGGATCTCGACTCACGTTTCGACATTGTCAAGAAACATTATACAATATAAAAAAGATTTGCCTCAGACTTTTGCAGAATGTCATGAATTTGGTTCATAAGGTATACCATTATGCCGTGAAATATACAGGGTTATTAGTAAAATGTTAACTACCTCGCAGGAGTACTGTAGCAGTAGCGTTCCTTGTGAAAGAGTTCGTCCAAGGAAGTACTGCCACCTTACCTATTTCTGGCGCCAAGCACTAATGTGAGCATTTCAGCGTTCTGGTTTTGAAGGGTAAGCCTTGGTTCACACGGCATTGTCCTGCACGTTCTTCCGCGGCAAAGCCGTTGACATATTCTATGCCCATATAAAAGTGCAACAAAGCCTGGATCCATCACAGACGTTTTCTCACGGCGATTGCTGTGTAGATACAGCGGCTATCCGTCTTAAACGCAGGAAAATGTGTCGTGCGAATACTCTATCTATACGTTTATAATCGAAAACAAGGCCATGTAAACGAAGGCTTAAGAGTACTGGTGAAATTACAGGCACGTGGGAGTTGAGTGAACTTATGTCTCAGGGTGACGGGCGCAGTGGGAGTGCCCCTCGGTTCTTTGCGATTTAAAGATCTGGGTGACTTTGAAACTGTTGTAGAAAACGGAAAAAGGAAGTTTTAATACTTCATTAAAACAAAAATTAAATTTTAAAACAGGACGTAAATATTTTAAAACAGTTAAGGACTGTTTTAAAATATTAAGCCTAGAATAAGTCGCTTACTTCTAGACAACACCGACGTTATGTACAGACAGAATCTTATGTTTTATTAGGGAATATCAGAAGGAATGTAAATAGTAAGATTTTTCTGTCTGGCTCAAGTTGATTCCGCGTCGATAAGTGTGGTGTCTCCCTTATACTATATTACTAGTATATAAGGTCATATATGATAGTATATATGGGTGTGACATATTTTTTATGAAGTTTATTTTGAACATTAAAATCAAGCCATTTAAGGTTTCAATTTAAACTTTTTCTTAAGGTAATATTTAATAAGGTTCATAATTAACTGGAAACAATATGTTTTATAAGATTTAAACATTAATAATTTATTATTAAGGTCTAAAACTGAAAGCTTTACTTTAGACACACTTCCCTGACGAATCGAGGCAAGTGTGACTACATCGCTAATGCATGATAGATAACTATTTTTATTGTGAAATTCAAAGATTATGTTATCCATGTACAATAAACAATTATTTGTCATCTATATTAATTACGTAAGTTGTTATAAACATTTAAGATAAAAAGATTAAGAGGTAAGGGTGTGTGTTTGTGTGACTGTGTTTCAGAGATGGAAAACCTTTTAAAAAATAATTAAATACCACTTTATTGGTGCTTAGAACAAAATATAATAAAAGATAAAACACACTTTTACTCCGATTTAAAAAAGTCCCTAGTATCCGTTTAAATAAAAAATACAACTGACACGATAATAGTTATATATATTCCGTTCACCATACTGCGTGCACTAAAGTTAAAACGAACTTTAGTCACAGTAGACTTTCTGAATGTTCTCTTCTTACTTGAAACGCTAATCTCAAAAATTATCACTAATTTTGTCCAAAACTACAATTATGTTTAACCTAATCATCAGTAATTACTAAAATAATAAATTAATGTTTACCACCTCTGGCTTGGGGCAAGTGTGACACATAGATACACTTACCTGAACTAAAATAGGTACACTTCCCCTATCACCTAATTTTATGGTTATGTCTTTTAAATACAAATAGAACTCTTATTTTTGACAATCCAAGTGATATAGTTATGGTAATATTAAGTTTAACAACTAAAAAAAGGTCTTGCATATACAAAATTCCCTCTCTCGTCGAAATCACCAAAGTTGTGTACGCCACAACGCCAAGCGCCACATGGGAATTGAGACTCATATTGTCAAATTGTCAAAGTGACAGATTTCAAAATGACGACAACTACGGAAGTACCTAACAGCGCTAACTAGATTTGAAAATGTCAATCAGTAATACTTTTAATTGCAATAACAGATAACACTTAAATCTTTTGATTTTCAATCAAAAGATTTAAGTGTTATCTGTCAATTAAATTTTCGTGATACAAAGAGCAGCCACACTTACCCCCTAGCTACACTTACCCATCCTGACTTTAGTATAATTGAATGTATGAATAACTGTATATACAAGTTGGCCCATTTACAGTGGTCCTAATTTATTTTTTTAGTTAGTGGACTTTATAACAACCCATTTGAAATAAATAGCAGTACAGCGAAAATCAATAGTTTAGAAGTTACACCACTCTAGTTTGGAAACTATTCCACTAAATTAATTGAAATTTGGTATGGTAGTAGTGTGACCATGTAGCTAGCACGTAATGAGCCAATTTTGTGTTTGTTCTTAAATCGATAAAATTTTTATTTGTTCACGAATGAAATGTAAATTTATCGAAAAATTCCTGACTGAAAAATGCACAATCAGAATTTACTAATGGCCTTAAAAACTACCTTAAGATGTAGTGATTGTTTACAAATAAAATTGTAGTGTTGCAACTGTTGTGACATCTTCATAAATGACATGACGTACACTGAATCACTAAAAACCGAAATTGACAATTTGTATCATAATCGTTATTCGAAAAATTTTAACTTAATTTCTCATAAGAAGACATTACTTCGATTCAGATTTATCTTAATTATTCTCAAACCAATCTCTAATAGTCATAATATACATGAAAATATTTTTTTTAACACAAATTTTTTCAACACACATACTTGTGAGATTATTACAACATACAATTTTACCAATTTTCACACACTTTTTTATCCATTTTCAGATACTTCTAACACATATATCTACCGTAGAGCGGTTGCCGATTACTACGACAGGCTCGCCTCTGCTTGTACGCACAAAAACATTCCAGTCAGTATTTTTCGTCATTCCCCGCGAGCGAGATTGCCATGAGATGCATCAGACTCTGCTAAGACTCAGCCAGCCAGGTAATGATCCTAATTAATGCCATATAGGATTTGAGCAGAGAGCAATTAAATCCCAAGCCACGTCCTCCCCATTCTCACGTTCACGATCACTGTAGATTAAAAGGGAATGAGAGAGTTAATTTGTACACATAACCTCGCTGCCGCGTCGCCTCCACCAAGGCAGTATCATCAATGAAATTCTCGACTCGCTTCTTCATAAAGTTTAGGACTTGCTTGTATGGAACAGATCTCTCAAAGACCGCAAATGATTAGCAGAACTATCCCATATTTCAGTTCATATCGACGAGCTTTACTGTTTCTACTACAAGTCGACACCAGACGATCTACCGAAGACAGCTGGATGGAACTTCTTCGACCTTGAGACGGAGTTCCAGAGGATGAACGTCCCCAACGAACATTGGGTGCATTGCACTGGGAATAAAGACTACGAGGTAATATGGATGTCCAAAATTTTATGAGGTTCCGGGTTCCAACTGAGTAAACAGTTTTGTCTGAGTTCCTTCTGCTTAGTGCTCTCGGTAGCCCTGGATTATCATTATACTGGTAAGGACCAGGTAAGACTTTAATGTTTAAGATTGTCCAGCTCATTTTTTATCATTTATTTCCAGCTCTGCGACACATACCCAAGTGTACTCTACGTGCCTGCTCGTGCCACCACAGCTGTTTTATTAGGCAGTGCGAGTTTCCGATCACGCGGCCGTTTACCTGCACTGGCGTACTTGCATCACAATAAAGCCGCTATTGCAAGATGCAGTCAACCTCTAAGCGGATTTTCTGCCAGGTATCATGTAAAACTATTCCATCGCACTTCATATCCCAATTTTATTGTTTTCTCATGACGTAGACACTGTCCTACCACTAGCGGACATAATCCGAGTTATTTGTGAGTAGTATTCGAGGCATTATTTGCAGATGTATGGAGGATGAACAAATGTTGGACCTAATAAGGAAAGCGAACCCAAACTGTGGATATATGTACGTGGTCGACACAAGGCCTAGAGTAAGTATGAAAAAAATATAATTTGGTATTGGTATTTTGAATTGTAGTCTAAATGTTAGATTACTATAAATGTCACTTAAAAAGAACCATAGTTTAAGAACGTGAAATCTAGTGCAAAATAAGCGCTGCATCGCGTTACAGGAAGCTAAGGCGCCGCGCGAACATGTATCTGACAATGAATATGAAATCAACACCATCGCCAGTTGCGCCAACTGCAATTGTATGAAATTGGATTATTCGCTTCTAGTTGCGGGTTGCTAATATCCAAAACAACACACACGTTTGCGCGGGGTCTAAATTGCGCTGTTTAGCGCTATATTAAATTGTTTGAATATTGCCAATGTAAAATTTTGTGCTTTTATATAATTATTTAGTTCATTGGTTTTATAACGTGAAAAGTGTAAATAAGAATAAAATCAAATATACGTTTTCTCTCTTCCTAACACCCATTTACTTTCTAGTTACTCATTCAATCGCTTAAGATAGTCTGTGTTCACAAAATGGCCGTGTTCACAAAATGGCTGATGTTCATAAAATGGCCGATCCACACCTTCACAACTTCATTTGTGAGCGTTAATAAAAAATCGTTTATATCGAGTTCTTAGGTTTTCGCGATTGTTACACATAGGAAATGAAACTATTTTTCCGGATTTAAATCGCGTATATTTGTTTTTTCAAACAAACCGACGTTTCGGGCCCTTTACAGGTCCCATGGTCACGGTTGACCGTTAAGTTTAATTTATTAATTAATAATAAATTAAACTTAATAAAAATTCATTCAATAAAATAATTTGTAAAACTTAATGTTGCGTAAATTGGAATGTTTTCTTTGTAAAATTAAAAATAAGGTATTTAATTAATAACTATTGTAACTATAGTGAAAAAATAGGGTGGTTTGCATTAATATTAGACATAACTGGTTGAAGACTGTACCACCTCAGTCAACCGTGACCATGGGACCTGTAAAGGGCCCGAAACGTCGGTTTGTTTGAAAAAACAAATATACGCGATTTAAATCCGGAAAAATAGTTTCATTTCCTAAAAAAAATCGTTTAGTTTACTGATATGCTATTATTTATGTATTGAAATATGTTTATATAACTGCTGATGACACTATATTGTTATTTTTAAAGTACACAGTGTCTTCGTTTATAAAATTCATTGCTGTGATAACTGCCAACCTTGAAGTGAACTTAAGTCTTTATTGATTCCTTATTTGTTCAGCTCGTTGCTCCGGCGGTACTTGAGTGTTTCCCGCTCGGTCATTTCTGGTATATTCTCTTCTTTGCACAATCTGCAATGCTCCCTTCATTGCCAAGCGAACGGAGCGGTCTTAGGGTCGTATTCCAGAACTTTACTCAATGCTCAAGTCAGGATTTGAGTATGGCTTAAATCACCCGAAATCATACTCAAGTCCCTGCCATTAGGGTCGTATTTCCAGTGCTTGAAATCATACTCAAGTCTGCTCAAATCCTGACTTGAGCATTGAGTAGAGTTCTGTAATACGACCCTTAGTTTCGATTATGACCCTGCAAATGGAAAGTTTGGTCTCTGAACTCTTTCAAAGACCAAACTTTCCATTTGAAGTTCCCTTTTCATCCTCCAAATGCCATCCTATACTAATTAAAGTAATTTCCAGATTAACGCAATGGTGAACCGCGCGGCGGGCAAGGGGTACGAAAACGAAGCGTTTTACGAGAATATTAAATTTCAATTCATGGGAATTGGGAATATTCACGTTATGAGGAAGAGTCTGCAGAAACTTGTTGAAAGTAAGAAATACAGTTAAACAAAGTTTTGTTTTGTTATGTTTAATGTACGCTTAACAGGAACACAAAGACGAAATTGTGTATTTTCACCAAGCTATCAATTTTCTCCTTAAAATTACGTAACTCAAGTTATCTCTAAAGTACGAATAGCCTTGGAGCCGCAAATATTTATTTTGCATTTGTATTTCAATTACTATCTAAAAATGTATTTTGTAATTGATATTTCAAATACTTTCGTTGTGTTCGGTTAGTGGTATTGATTGTGTTTTCTAATTTGTATTTTAAATAGATGTGGTCAAAAACCGAATTATGAAACCTAAGGCCCACTGTACATAGTAAAGAAAATATATTTTTTTTATAACATCAAGTGACGGGACGAACAAGTCGTGCGCCTGATGGTAAGCTACACGCCTGTCCATAATAGTTACAGTGCCACTCAGAGATTTAAGTTGCAAAGATCTGAGGGGCACTACCACTGCACCCGTCACCCTGAGACATAAGTTGACAAGTCCCATGTGCCGTAATTTTACCAACACCCTTACTCTTCCAAACCGGAACACAGTAATGCTAACATTACTGCTTGGCGGCAGAAATAGGTAAGGTGGCAGTACTTCTCTGGACGAATTCTTTCACAAGGAGCTCTGCTGCTACTATCGCATGGCATTCATATATTAGCACTATACTCATTGACTAACAAATAAATGTATGACGGGTCTAACACAAAAACCACGAAAAAAATGTCCCAAGTCAACCTATTTAAACGTAGTGACATGTAAAGGAATATGAAAAAGCTAAAACGTTGAATTTAAATTGTAATGTCATCGCAGTACTGTCTAATTTTGCTTGCTTCGCTGTCAGTCGAACAAACGAAGACTAAAGCGTGAATGACACTCTGTATACGATTTTAACGCCCTATAAGTTCGGACACTTTTTAGCGCGGACCCGAAGTCCATATTATTGTAAGTCAATGACTATACTATATAATTTTCTAAGGTATCTAGAAAAGTTTTCCACAAAATACTCAGAGCATACTTGCTTAGGTCCGAATCATTTAATATTTAGTACGTTTTAATGTACATTCGGCATTTAACGCTTTTCTCATTGTAGTTAGTTGGGTTCGAGTAGGCTATGAAAGTATTTTGTGTTTCCTTAAATACATACATACATATAAAAAGTATTTTGTAATTTTATATCTTAATTAAATATAGCACATAGTTTGCCGAACCCTGTTTGGAGCATAGTAATGCTATAGTAGCACCATAGTCGGTAAACAAAGAGAAAATTTTATTTAGTGTTGCCATGAACCAATAACCCAAGAGAACTGCTAATGTCCTTACTACAGATCGTAGCTCTGAAAATTCTCTAAATTCCATCTTACACCTAGATGGCACTGATCAACATCCTTGAAGTAGTTTATATTATGTAAATGGCTGGATCTCACTTAATTCCTCTTTAATGTTGAATATAAGAAGTCAGTTACTTTTCCTCTAAGTATTATTCAAATATTGTACATAAGCTAAAATTATTTTATGAACTTTAAAAAAAATTGCGTGTCAATAAATGGCATTGTGTGTTACAAACTAATTTATAATTAACGCTTCCTAATGTGGGTAGATGGCGCTAATCCTAAACAAAAAGAATAGCCGGCACTCTCCATAAAAATCTGTGCAACAAGCGCCATCTAGTTGTTTTGGTTGTTATCACTTGAAATTGGAGTAGCTTTGATAAATTGCAGCTTGTCAATATGAAACAAATAGTTACAAAAATAACTATTTGGTACTCATCGCGACATCTGGTGTACCAATAGGTATAAATACCTGACCACGCTGTCTTTTATTGCGATTGGCATTTCACTTAAGTTATTTGGTCCATGCTCTTGCGTATTGTATTCATCGGCTCCTCTAAAGAACAGAGTGTGATGTGATTATGTAGCGAAAAGAAAATAAATACGTTACGAGAATAATTTCATTATTCAAACTAAGGCCTATGTAAAGGTGTTGTGAGAATTTATATATCTTATTTCGTTTCGGAAATATAAAATCGAACAACGGTCGATCTGACATCCACAGCGAAGAAGAACGAAGGAAATGTACTACGTCCTGAGAACAAGCAGTCTTGGACATAGATTTTTGTTCTACCGATGAGTCGATATGTACTAATACACTAGCCTGTTGGTAGCCAAATCACATACGCAATACGATCACGCTCTTAATTAAAATAAACAAAAATGGCATAGTACATTAATATAAACTATACTACTTTCTATTCGTTCATATTGAACTTTCAACAGGGTAAAGTTTAAATTATATTAACAGTCCAGAATTTGTTACATTTTTTTAAATTAGAAACTTCGACCAATCATTATCAAGATTTCATAGTGTTTATCATTTGTTTGTATGCGTTTTGGCTCCGATAGTAATCGAGGCTTATGGCACTTCCATTGTTTTTTTTTCTCCCGTGTTTCGGGCTCTATACAATGCCCATGACCATGGGGTCACGGCTGACTCGATTCCCCTACCCGAAAAGTAGGTTTGATTGAAAAAACAAATAACGCGCGATTTAGATTAGAAAAATGACTTCATTTCCTATGTGTAACAACCTTAGAACTTGACATCCACAATACATAAGCTTATTTATACTTTATGTAAATAGAACTTCTTAAAATATATGTACATCATTAATTTTTAACTTGTGTACTTACTTATTTCTTTAGCGTGCGAACAAAACACCCCGACGATGTCGTCGTTCTTGAGCGGATTAGAATCTTCCGGCTGGCTGAAACATATCAAGTGAGTTCATGTTAATTAATTTGCTTTTGCCGAGAAATTTAATTAATATTTTGACAATCCTGAAATCGTAGAGAAATTCGAGCTGAATGTTTTTTTTGATAATACCAAGACGGAATGAATAAGTCGCGCCTGGTGGTAAGCGACACACCTGTCCATAGCAGTTGCAGCGCTACTCAGAGTTTTAAATTGCAAATATCTGAGGGGCACGACCACTGCGACTCTGAGGCATAAGTTGACATGTGTAATGAAAACAACTCCAAATCGGCGCCTTACTTTCTCAAACTCGTATCTTAAAGCACAAACTTACTGAAATGCAAAACATATATTGTATATACACATTTTGCAGGCTGATTTCACATGACATTTCCTTCATATTCGCACACTGGCTTTTACCTATTCTTTTTTTTTTTTTTTTAATATATAATAGACACACGCTTGGCCACAATCTCACCTGATGTTAAGCGACGATGTGACCGACGATGGGACGCGTTTGCCTAAAAAATGCCTATTCACTCTAGCCTTGAATAGTCCCAAATTGTACTAAGAAATATAGAAGAAATAGAAAGTTTTACCATCTCCAGAATAATTACTCTTTATAAGATACGAGTTTGTGAAAGTAAGGCGTCGAAGTTCTTCGTAAGATCACGTAACTTCATATCTCACTACAATTATTGTTCGTTCGTCATACTCAAGTTTAAATCTAGTCTAGCACACGTGTTCCCCGAACTGAAAAATCTCTCGATCCGCCCCACTCACAATTTTTTGAGTAAACGCGGTAAATAACACGGTACCAGTATACCATTTCATGTATCGAAATTATATCTAAAGCAATAGAAAAATATTAAAATCCTGACACATGTAGGTAATGTGGCAGTATTTCCCTGGACGAACTACAAGCTCTACTGCTACTAAAAATGAAATACATTGTATAAAGACGTCCACATTATAACAGGTCAATCCTCTCGACTTCAACCCTGTAGGAAAGTCTTATAGCGTCGTATAAACACATGCATTGTTATATTACAGGTCGATCCTCGAGACATCGGTGTGGATTGCTAATGCGATAGAGAGTGGCGTGAGTGTGTGCGTGCACTGCAGCGACGGGTGGGATCGTACAGCGCAGGTCTGCTCTATAGCTGCACTGTGCCTCGACCCTCACTACCGCACCATCAACGGGTACCAGGTATTCAATTTCATGAAGTAATTTATTTCAATTTTATCTTGTTTTTTGCTATTGTTTTTAGTGACGGGACGAACAAGTCGTGCCTGATGGTAAGCTACACGTCTGTCCATAACAGTTGCAGTGCCACTCAGAGCTTTAAATCGCAAAGATCTGAGGGGCACTGCCACTGCGCCCGTCACCCTGAGACATAAGTTGACAAATCCCATGTGCCTGTAATTTCACCAGCACCCTTAAACCTTCAAAACGGGAACGCAGGAATGCTCACATTACTGCTTGGCGGCAGAAATAAGTAAGGTCTCTGGACTAACTCTTTCACAAGGAGCTTAATATGCCTTTCATGAAGGAAGTTTTAGTTCGAATCTCAGCAGAAGATTGCACGATTGTGTCTTTTCGATTCATATGAAGTTTCAATTATTAATTAATCTTAACGGTGAAAGAAAATAGCATTTTATTGATGATGGTTAAAAAGCTATTTACAATATGTGATGTATTTCAATTATCTGCCAAAAAATGTTTGTTAAAATTCCAGGCGTTAATAGAAAAGGATTGGCTGACATTCGGGCACAAGTTCACGGCTCGATGCGGCCACATCGCGTGCGACGGCCGCGAACGCTCGCCCGTCTTTACACAGCTTCTCGACTGCACCTGGCAGCTGCTAAGACAGCTACCTGAGGCCTTCCAGGTATGCTTTTGATCATAAAATATTTAGCATCTATACAGCATATCTATGATTTGCATTCTCGCCATATTTAAAAAATTAATAATAGAAATAATGCTAAATCATCTAAAAACCCACTGATAGGCACAGGCCTCCTCTCACAATAGAGGACTTGGGCTGTTGTTGCCAACGCAACAGAATTTTTATGATAAAATTTAAAAACTTTCGAAGCAGTAACTAAACGGTCGTCAAGGGCCGTCATTACGTAGGCCGGGGGTTCTATTTTGAACCAATCAACTATACTTCGTTTCAATCCATCGTTTTAAACAAAAAGTAAACAAACAACTCACTGACCTGACCATAGACGGTTTAGTGATGTCCAATTGTAATGCCAACTACGAATCGAATAATTAATTGAATAAATCGATTTGCTTAATTGAGTCATACTAGCGGTTTTCCTTACATGAAAATACATAATCTATAAAAGCAAAAAAATTAAAAATTTCCCAAATCTTAATTTTAAACCCTCTTTCGAATCCTTACACTTAGATACTCGTTCGATTACGATTGAAATTTTCGAGTTACTAATCGATTGTAAAAACTTTAATTGAATGAACCGAATGTTTTTTTTCGTACAGCACTATGCAACCATAGATAAATCATAGAAAATATTAATAAATGATAAATGATAGAAGTATGGATGAAAAATAACCTCATTTTTAGACTACTATTTTTCAAATACGATTTTATGATGCTATTCAAATGAATATTGTTGGAAAAAGTGATGAGATATCAAGTCGAAATCTTCGAAATATGCGTAAAAGCGTTACTTATTCGATTCATTGAGTGATTGTATTAGAATTTTAACCAAACAGGTTTGTTTACTTTTTGTTTAAAATGGGTTGGCACAGACTAACACCATATACTTGTTATTTCATCCCTACCACAATTTAACGAAATGTTTGTACGAGTTAAAAAGGTCAAAAAGGCCGTTTACTTTTGAATTGAATTTCTGTAAGAAACCACACTGTTTAGCGATTACTGGCAATACTCCAGTAAACCAGTAACCTATTGCTAATATATTACAGTCAACTTAAATCGTCTTTAATTTTACGACCTCGTCGAGGTCCTCATCATCTTCTACTTGGATCTGGTGGCTACACCGTCCCAAAGTGCATTGGGAATTTCACACGCATTATTAAAGTTCCTTTTAAATTTTGCACATAAATTCTGAAAAACTTATACCTTAGTGTCAGCCAGTAGTGCGGGTTGGGGACTTCTCACGCCGTCGTCAAGTTTTTTTTGTGACAGGACTAACAAGGCGTGCACCTCAGAGCTTTGAATCGTAAAGACCCGATGGGCATTACAACTGCGCCCGTCAGGGTATATGCCTGTAATTTCACCAGAACCCTTACACGTCTAAACCGAAAGGAACACAGTAATGCTCACATTACTGCTTGGCGGCAGAAATAGGTATAATTCCATGATCCGAGTTCCAGTATCCTTGACTTTCGTCAGTACTCGGATCTCAAGGTTCGGAATTCGGTCTACAAGTCCTTTACTTTAGTATTAAAATGTACTTAATTAATCAGTTAATTCTTTATCGGTCGACACCATAAAAATACAGGTTTTTTTTATATTTGGTCGTTTCGATTCAAAAATCTTTGATGCAGTATCGCTTACTTTTAAAAATAAAATAATGAGTTCTGGAAGCAAAATATTCTATGTACAATATTTAAACTACTTTCCTCCCGTGTCACAAAGCAGTAAAACATAATTATATAACAAAAAAAAATTAGATAACATCACATACGTTGCTCTGATCCGAAAGTAAGTAGCTAAAGCACTTGCGTTATGGAAATCGGAAAGAACGATGGTACCACAAACACCCAGACCCGAGACAATATAGAGAAGTTAGTTTTCTACATTGACCCGGCCGGGGATCGAACCCGGGTCCTCAGAGATGGCAACACCATAAAAAGTGTGCAAGCCATTCGACTACGGAGGTCGTCAAAAATATACAGTAACTTTCTTACCGCCTTACTTACACAATGTACTTACTCGTCCAGTTCAACGAGCGTTTCCTATTGGAGCTGCACGACCACGCCCACGCCTGCCAGTACGGGACATTCGTTGGCAATTGCGAGAAAGACCGGAGAGATCTCAGGTATTATTGTTATGAGACCGCCTATGAGGATTATTTCTTGTGTGATACATAGCACATGAAGTAATAACTCAAAAATGATGGAATTAAGAAAACACGAATTTGAAAAAAATATATACTAAGTGGAACCAATAAACCGTCGGGGATAGTGCAATTATGCATAACTAGCATTTGATTATTGAGTCTCCATTTCGATAATTTAGTCGCCAAATCAAATTCGCGTAAATGTCGTGGCAGCCAAATCAGCGTGATTTACAGAAATCTAATGTTATCAGGCGTAGCAATTGAAATAACAAAGTATTGACATTCAATCCCTCTCCTGTGAAATTTGGTTTGGTGCATATACGCGCCTTTTACCAATACTACATACGCGGAATTTCACTATCCCCAACGAAATGTATATTCTCCTTTATTAGTGGATAACGAATCAATTGTATAAATAAAAATAATCCCATTATTCGCTATAATTCACTCAGTATTAAGGCAGTATAAAAAGTCCTTAAAAACCATAAACAAAAATCTGCAACAAACATATGCAAAAATTCGTTAGGTCGGCTGGTTCGTTCTGTGGCTTAATTAATTGGCAGAACATCTGCCACTGATTGCCTGAGACTGTTGGTTCGAATCCATCCTGATCACTATTGAACTTAAAAAATTAGTATCTCTTTTTAATTTTCATGCAATTCCATATTTTTTTAGTTACGACAGTATTTGATTTCATGCGCGTCATGTTGAGTATTTTGAACGGACTTCAAAAAAAGGAGAATGTTCTCAATCCGATTGTATGTTTTTTTTTTTGTGTGTATGATATAAGATGCAATACTTTTATTGTTGGAAAGAGTGTACCTCAGATGTGGTCCCATTTTAATTTGAAGAAAATATTCCACCACTAAGGGTGGCAAACTAGGGGATGAATGACTTGAGGTCGGTTTTATTAGTACTGATTGTTATTATTACATAAGACAAATAAGCGCATTTAACCTCCATTGCACCTGATGGCAAGTGACGATGAGGTCGACGATGTAGCATGCACACCTAAATAATGCCTATTCACTCTCGTCTATTCACCCGAGTCATAGCATTCAGGGAATAAATTTATATGGGAATAAGTATGTATATTTTTGGTGGTGCTGTGTGTGACTGTAGTTGTGCTTCTATTATTTATTAATTTTTGTGCAGCGGAAGAGTGGAATGAGAGATTATCGATTTTTTTTTAGATTATCGGAACGTACGTTTTCGCTGTGGGGCTACATGGCGAATCACTTGAACGAATACAAAAATCCTCTATACAACCCAAAGGCGTATCTCGACGTCATCAAACCCGATCTCAGTGCTCAAAGTATACGGTAAGATTTAACCACATCATTTACGTCATTACTGGGCATCATCGCCATCATACTTAACTCGTTATACGTCCCACTGCCGGGCACAGGTCTCGTCTAACGAGTGTACCATACGTTACGAAGTTTTTCTTCACTGTTCGGGAGAGGTATTACTTCTACAAGCCTACCGCTAAACTAAGTCGGTTCCTGAGGTAGCTGCGCGGTGTGGGAGGAGTAACAGTTTACGTAACAGTTATGTCGTGCTGCACACGGGATAATTTCTACAAGATTTTTCTGACGATATTCAATAACAAGTTGATGAAAAATGTGAACACGTTGAATCTCACTGATGTTAAGCCGTCGAGTATATAACCAGGAATAAAGACGAAATGTCATTTAATTTGTTTGAACACTATTCTGCCAAATCATTACGGTGACAACAGCGCTCCGATTGGCCAGCCCGAATTCGAAACAATTGGCGGATGTCGTCAATTGTTTCACTTCATATCAACCAGTTTAACTTGAGCTTTGCTATAATGGACGAGTTCAAATTTTAGAAGTGATATAAGGCCCATTTGCCTGACGAGTTGCCAGTATTTCGTCTGTTTCTGGTTATATACTCGATGTGTTATGCGACGTGACCAACAAAATTATACGTTTTTGAAAAAAAAAAAATTCATTAATTGCCTCTGTGGCCGAACGGTTACCATGCTGTTTTGCCACGCGTAGGTCCCGGGTTCGATTCCCGGGCCGGGAATATTTGTATCGTTTACATGTATTTCTCTCTTGAGTTTGGGTGTAATTTGTGGTTGTCTATGTGTATGTCCATAGCGCCTGCGATAAAGGGTTTGCCTAGTGCGGAGCTATGAGTGTATATATGTCTGTATAGAGTGTATATAGTGTGTACTCTGTTGGGCACGAGTCTCTTCTCAGGCGAGGCCTTTTTTTATTATAATATCTAGTGATGGCACTAACAACTCGTGCGCCTGATGGTAAACTACACGCCTGTCCATAACAATTGCAGATACATTTAGAGCTTTAAATCGCAAAGATCTGTGGGGCACTGCCACTGCGCCCGTCAATCTGAGGCATAAGTTGACAAGTCCCAAGTGCCTGTAATTTTACCATCACCCTTACCCTTCCAAACCGGAACACAGTAATGCTGACATTATTGCTTGGCAGCAGAAATAGGTAAGGAGACAGTTCTACCATAGACAAACACTTTCACAAGGAGCTCTACTAAATGGTACACAGGGTATAAAAGGTACTTACAGTCTACCTACTATTGGCATGCCGTGTGCCAGCTAAAAGCTTGTTGTGGCATTAATGATGAATGGTGCTGTCAGATTCTGGCGGGGCATGTTCTGCCGACACGAGAGCGGCGTCCACCCTCGAGAGCCTCTGGGCGACCTACTGCCTGCTGCAGTGGACCACTGCTCAGCTCTGGACTTCCACATCAATTACCTCACCAAGGTATTTTAACTCTTCTTTTTTTGGTCCATCTACTATTGCTACAAGCTGTAGAGACGTGGACATAGGTATAACACGAAAAAAAAAAAAACAATGGAAGTTCCATAAGCCTCGATTACTATCGGAACCGTTCTGGCCAAAACGCACCCAAACGATTAATAAACACCACGAAATCTTGGTAATGATTGGTCATAGTTTCTAATTTAAAAAGATGTAACAAATTCTGGATTGTTAACATAATTTAAACTTTACCCAGCCGCTATATTGTTGAAAGTTTATAGCAATACCTTTATAGCAAGCTACGACGTTTTGATTTTATATTGAAATTTTGTTCAACGTGCAGCCATCTTGATAATATAAAATAGTATTACGGATAATAATATTTTTGGTGCGGCTATCATTTTTGAACTCCCAAACAGCACATTAAGGCAATTTTCTGCGATTTTAGAGAATTTGCGCGAGAGAATGCCACACCCATACCACACAAACCGAAAAAGGCGAACTGAGCTCAAGTAGGTCTTTCGAGACCTAATGTTGGCACGCGTCAGACGCGAACTAACCATTTCTAGTATATTTATTGTTCTGTGGATATAACTATGGTGTATCATTGATACAAATTAATTTTAGTACGTACATATTTAAAACTGTAATAACGCACACACAAATTGAAAGTTTTTCAATTGTATACTTTTTGATTTGTTAGTTTGCAATAAATTGTAAGCCTGGCATTCCTTTGACTGTATTCTCGAAAGTAAGCAATGCAAAACGTTACTTGGTGTCGAGAATAAATCAACTGATTTTTACTTCAAAATATTAAAGTACTGACTCAGGTGCTTTGTGATTATGATATTGTATATACATATATAGTATTGGACTCTCAACTGACATGGAAACCACCAGTTAATTCAGTATGTGCAAAGCGGAATCGATTTGTATTTGGTTTACATCGTCTAAGGCACTTATGTGACCAGAGGACTGCCTTGATGACCTACCATGCATTTGCCTGCTCAAGCTTGCGGTATGGCCTCATCATCTGGGGGAACTGCGTAGACCTATACCGTGTATTTGCTATCCAGAAAAAATGTGTCAGAGCTATATGTAGAGTAGGTCCGCTGGAATTTTGTACACCGCTTTTTAGAAAGCTAAATCTTCTTATGCTCCCCGCCATGTACAGATACGTATATGAGGTATGCATGTTTGTATAAAAAAAACTTGGTCTTGTTTACTAGGAAACGTGAAGCATGTAATTTTTTAACCAGATATCCAAACCGCTTAGCTGGCCCCTCCCATAAGACTACTTGCTTTTATAGGAATTGCTATAACATGTCCATACAAATATATAATGCTTTGTCTGCAACTATCGCAGACTTATCTATATTTTTTAATTATCTATAAGAATATTTAAAAAAAGTTATTTGATTTGCTATGTGATCTGTGTTTATATGATATCAAAGATTTTTTAATAATAAAAAGAAATTGACATTTTGTTTATATTTGTGCTGTTCTAACTTCTTTGATATTGTTTAATTTATGATTTTATTGCTGTTGCTATTTATTGGCATTTTTACTTAATTTTATTTGACATTGCTTATTTTAAATTTAATTTATGACATTATTTAACTTCAATTTATTTTAATATTTGCGTGCCAGTATCTGGTGCAACACGTGTTCTTGACACCTTGTACAATAATATCTTTTGTTGTTGTTCATATTTCATTTCATTTTATTTCATTTCATAAACGCCTGAACAAGAGAGAGAGAGAGAGAGAGAGAGAGAACAATAACCTTGACAACAATGTAATAAACGCCATCTGTTTGCCTTTTTGAATATAGTTACAATCGCGTCACGGGTTTATTTGTTAGTTGATATATAAATTCACCAGCACCTTTATTTACCCTTCGAAACCAGAACGCAGCATAGATCACATTAAGGGTCGAAACACAACTGCAAATTGGTGCGATGCGATTTCGTGCGGCAAAGCGTCTCACTGCCACGGTTCGAGTAATCATACCTTAGTCGATCGTCAACAGCACTAAACGTATTGTTTAAACTAGGCAGCGACATGGATCCCTAAAAGGGTGTTGCACTGCGGTTATTGATAAGCAAATATAGGGAAAAAACACAAAGAAGATTAACATCGCAGGAATACGCGATGCGGAGCAATTCGCAAATTCTTGCGATGCGTCGTGCGAGCTCGCAGATTTCTGCGAGGCGACGTCGCACTCTTGTGTTTCAACCCTAATACGTATGGTACTTCCCTTGACCAACTCTTTCACAAGGATCTCTTATGCAACTGAACTAAAGCAAAGATCTTTTGAATAACAAACCTTGTATTTTATTGCAGACATGTTATCGCACGTAATTGTAAATAAACTTTACCATTCCAGCGAATAACGACTTTCAAGAACCTGCTATCAGGCAATCGAGCCGAAAAGAGTGACGCAGTTGTGAACTACCAGAACGGCAACCTTGACGCAGTCGAAATCGAGACCAAGACCGAGGCCTTGCAGATTGATAACAAGTAAGTTAACTTTTTAAGACCCAGTAAACTACAACTGGGAACAGCGCTAAATGCTCAAAAACATTAAATTGGACGTAGTCAAACAAAAAGGATCCAATGCACATCCAGTGACTTTCCTGATATGGCAGCTTGAAGTTCAAAGTGTTTCTCACTTAAAAATTTATAATGTCAGGTATCTCCAGAGATATTTATTTACATTTATAATTATGTTGGATTTTTTTTGCTAATCTAAGAGGTTAGACTTTAGGAACCGTTTGGTACATATAACTCGTTTTTTGATAATTTTGTGGATTGGATCCCCTTTGCTTAACTACTGCTAAATAACAGAGCTTCAGGCCCGAGCAAGTAAGCCCTTTGTTTTGCATGAAAAAGTTTTTTAGATACTCTATGGTCATCTAGAAAACCTATAACTATATCGCAAAATTTAAATGCGATATTTTCAGAGCGTTTTGTGCTTATAGAAATTATATTATTTAGGTCTGAATCACTTGTCATATATTACATACATTTTGATGTACACGGGGCTTTAGAAGGTTAATAAATAAAAGTGTTAATACAGCTTAATTTCTATCTAAAAGCTCTTTTTTCTTAAGTATTTTGGATTATTCATTTTTTTTATATTATGAAGTGAAGCAACACGTCTATTTTTAGATTGCCACTGCGCGTTGGTTCCAACACAAAAAAATCTTTGATCTGCCAGGCCCCCAATTTGTGTCTAACTAACTCAACCTGCGATTCCACCAATAAATTATTAATGAATTATGAAGGAACTGGATATTCAGGGAAATACTGCAACTTTACCTGTTTCTGCCGCTAAGCAGAAATGTGTGCTATACTGCGTTCCGGTTTTAAAGGGTGCTGGTAAAATTACAGGCACATGGGACTTGTCAACTTATGCCTCAGGGTGACGGGCGCAGTGGCAGTGCGCCTCAGATCTTTGCGCTTAAAACTCGGAGTGGCTTGTTGTTCGTCCTGTCACTTAATATTATAAAAAACAAAAAATAGATGCGAGCATTAGTTAACAACCCTTTGAAGCAGACAATGTGCGAGCGGGTTTATTGTCTATTATTTGTGTTGTGACAGCTTTCTCCTATAATATCACACAATAATTTTTATTCCATAATTCCAGGTTACTGTACGACTCTGGCAGCACCCTGTCGGAACTAGAGTGCGCAAACCACGACCATCCATTAAAAGACACCCACGGACCTTCGAAACCTAATAAAATACCTCTTATTACTGAAGTAAGTGCCATACAATTTCATACTCCAACGTATATAAGTTTGCAAATTATAATTGTTTAGTTATATTTGTAATTACTTTTCAGAGAGTAGACGACTCGATACCGCCAACTTTCGTCGCGCTCGAGCAAGAGGTGAACACTGTGGCTATTGACTGGAAGAGCCTTAAGAACATCACTGAGTGCAGCTGCTCCACGCCGCTAGATCATTTCAGTACTAAGGTTGGTTGATGTCATTTAGTTAGTTTAGTTTGTGTAGTTTATTTGAGTGGTGTGACTTACATTAAAATAATAGTACTTATTGTTTTTTATGTTTCCCCCAGTTTTGTGTAAAAAAAACGTATTTTTCTAGATACCCTTTAGTCATGTCTAATGTTAAGCGCTAAATTTTAAAGCGATATTTTCATTACAGTATGAATTGGGCGATAACATGATCTGTTTTTTTTATGATACCAAGTGATGGGACGAATAAATTGTGCGCCTGGTGGTAAGGGACACTCCCGTCCATAGCAGTTGCAGTGACACTCAGAGCGTTAAATCGCAAAGGCACTCGGCACTGCTACTGCGCTCGTCTATTGAGACATATGTTGACAATTCCATTTTGTCTGTAATTTCACCATCATAGAATCATAGGAATAGTATTGTCTGGGTCTGAATTACTTCATATGTTTTGTACATTTTAATGTACACACGGGAACGTGCTAATACATAGTAAATACAAAGACTAAAAAGACAGGTACAACAGACGGCCTTATTGCTAGATAGCAATCTCTTCCAGGCAACCTTCGGGTTACAGGAAAAACTATGAAATAATAACTAATTGTGAGCGCTACAGAATATATATTTAATACACATATGAAAACTGTCACACAAATGAAAACAAAAAAAATAGTTTATAGTATACGCCCAATGTTTGGTCGGGCATACTCTTGGTCCGGAAGTGAATCGGGGCATTCCGTTGCAGCACCACTGCTGGGGCTGCGGACGCGCCGTGTGCACGCGCTGCGTGTGCGCGCGCCTGTCGCGGCCGGCGCTGGCGTCGCCGCGCGCCGTGCCGCTGTGCGCCGCCTGCGCCGGCTCCGCGCCCTCCACGCCCGCCTCGCCCCCCGCGCCCCCGAAGGGTAAGCCCGCCTCCTGGGCGCGTCTCATTACTAGAATCTTTCGGTTTTTGATAGAAATAGCTTATATCGTCAAGTAACATTGTTATGGCTGGACAGAATTCTTTAACATCGAATGTGCAAAGCGAATTAAATGTTTTTATGTTTTTAACCTCAAAAATTATAAAAAAAAGAAAAATAATTTTGCCGCTTTTTTTTTTGTGAAAAAAAACCTACATCATTTTTTGCAGCTGAATAACAAGTCTCTAATACACGGGACCCCGACATTAGTGTAGAATTCTTCATAAAATTTTGCTGTAAATATGTGGCTGAATTGACACGTGCTCAATTTCAATCGTTCGTAGTTGAAATAGCAAAATCTGTGCAGACAAACTTATATTTCAATGATCAAACAAAATTGCAAGCAATTTAAAATTTTCCCGCTACAGGATATAACTGAATCTGCATACCCTATAGCCGCTATTAATCTACCTCATGAAACATAATGTTCCAAACGTATTTAACCAAAAACGCGAAAGTTAAATTTATTTAGTTATTAACACTCTTTCTTTATTTTTCAGATCTAGTCACACCAAGTAATTAAAGTCTGCTTTAACGTAATGAAAAAAATAATTTAAAAGTATATGAAAAAAAAAAGTAAATAAATAAAAGTATATGTAGAAAATATAAACAAATAAAGATTACAACATTCAAATTATCATTATCAGCAATTCAAGACGACTACTAACAGACCGTAGCCCTCAAAAAGTTCCAATATCCGTCTTACACCTAGATAGCGCTGATCAATAGCTTGGAAGTAGTTTACATTATGTGAATGGCCGTGGATATCAATTAATTCCTCTTTAATACGAAATATAACAATTCGGTTTTATTTTCCTTGTTCAGACATTGATCATGAGCTAGAATCATTTTCTGAATGTTGACAAATGCACGTGTCAATAGATGGCATTGTGTGTTACAAACTAGTTTATAAATTAACGCTTCCTAGTATGGTTAGATGGCGCTGATCTTAAAAAAAAAATAGAAGGAACGATACATAAAAATATGCGCAACAAGCGCCATCTAGTTGATTAGATCACTAGAAATTAGAGTACCTTCGATAAATTGCAGCTTGTCAACGTAAAACAAATAGTTACATAAATAACTATTTTGTACTCGTGGCGGCATCTGTCGTGCCAATAGGTACTAAGTGTCTGATTATGCTGCCTTGCGTTATTGGTACATAAAGTTATGTATAATGTTATCATATCAAAATCGTTATTGAAATATTTAGTATAATCATTCAGCATTAATGTCACAAAATTACTAGAATAAGTGGCTGTAAAACGGTGAATAATTTTTTCAATTAATTTCTTAATGGCATTAAATGACACATTTACGTTGTATTATAAGTTTCTCGCTGATGGCGTTATGGTAAAAATGCCATTTGCACCAACGGAAAGATCTGCAACAAGTACATCGAGAAATTAGACTTGTTAACTCGTCTATAGCTCAGATAGTAAGAGCGGTAGCCCCGGTTAGGCATACAGTCACTGGTTCGAGTCCAGTCAAATCGAAGTAATTTCTCTTTGTGTTTGTTCGACTTTGAATCATTAATGATAACAAACTAGTGGAGGTATAGGAAATGAACCGATTTTTCGGATTTAAATTGCGTATATTTGGTCCCATGGTCACGGTTGACTGTCCAACTGTGACCATGGGACATGTAAAGGGCCCGAAACGTCGGTTTGTTTGAAAAAACAAATATACGCGATTTAAATCCGGAAAAATAGTTTCATTTCCTATGTGTAACAATCGCGAAAACCTAAGAACTCGATATATTTGTTTTTTTTAAACAAACCGATGTGTCGGGCCCTTTACAGGTCCCATTGTCATAGTCAATCTTGACCATGGAACCTGTAAAGGGCCTGAAACGTTGGTTTGTTTGACAAAACAAATATAGGCGATTTAAATCCGAAAAATAGTTTCATTTCCTATGTGTAACAATCGCGAAAACCTACTCAATAGTGGAGAGTATTTCCACAAAAATATGTGAATATCACGTAGTAAAAACATTATGATATTCAGTAAATATCAGTATTTATATGTATAACTATCAGATATCGAAATACGCATCGTGTATTTACCCTAGTTTTCAAGGAAGTTAATACAAATAGAGTGGACAATATGTATAAATTTCCATCGAAATGCTGAAAAAATTTCGATCGATTCGATAAAATATAAATTTCGATCGAAATGCTGGAATACCTTTACATCTTTCTGTTGAATGGTGAGAAGGTTCTCAGAACCAAAATATCGTCTAGGGGATCAGATATCTCAGGACATCGACAGGTATACCATTAGTGATAAAGTGTACTATAAGCCGTTTAGGTTAGTCCTCGCCCGCGACGACAGAGGGGCGCGGGGCGGGGTTATGTTGTCGTGCGGTGCACGTGAGGTGAAAATACTTGCTAATAGGTCTAACGATAGGTTATATGATAATTGTGTTATGTTTAAGCGTGAAACACAGTACGCGGGTGCGGGTCGTACGCGTGTCGGGTCGAGTGCACGGTAGGTCTAATTCCGGATATTTATTTATATGGACGACAACCACCTCGCGCGGGTGCGGAAAGGGCGCAGATCGCCATGCTGTCACACCCGCTGTCACTGTGTTTTGCGTTATAATTGTGTGCTAATGCATTATTGACACTTTGTCTATGTATCGTATAAAGTATAGTGTGGATGAAAATACTTTTTTTTTAAACAAAGATAAAGATATCAATTGCTAACGTCCATATGAATAGCATAATATTGTGTCCGAAGATAGATTGACTCATCTCGGAAATGTAATCTCGTATATACAGGAAGATTTTTTAAACACTATCCAAAATTTCATATTATGATCTGCAATGAAAATAATTATATACGTATTTTTTCTTTTAGTATCATTCAGTACTAAAATATTGAGATAAGGCATTACAAAATTATCCAAAAAAATCCTGACGTAAATGGTCACCGCGCATTGCGCTTCCGCCCCCCGCCCCGCCATTTGATTGATAACAAATAATAACATCCATAAGTTGCAAATTTTTCCTTCATACTTTAACGGGCTTAGGACCGTCAGATCGCAAAAGGCATTATTGTACCTACCTAAATTTCATAGTGATAAGGTAGTTTAGGTTACTCGTTAACGTTTAAATTAGCTAGGTAGTAGGTAGGTTTAAATTACTCAGAAGGCAATTTTACAAAGTAGGTAAGTAGGCAGCACCTTTTGCAATAAGGCGTATTTAAAAAATTTGAATCAACTTAGAATGTACAATAATTAAAATCAATGAAATTCAACTTGCCTACAATAAAACAAAAAAAAAGATTAAAATCCTAATAACTAAGTGTATTTTAGCAATTGTTCAAAATGCAAACCATTTCTCTCTAAACAGAGTCTAGCACGTTTCTGCATATTGTCTTTCAATTAATTAAGCACTACAGTGTCTCTTTTCACTTCATCAAACGCGCGTATGATTTGCAGTTTTAATGCGTCTAGGCTTTGGGCCTCTTCCACATACACACGTCTCTTAATTTCACCCCAAAAAAAAAGTCACATGGAGTCAGGTCCGGTGAGCGTGCTGGCCACGGGACGGAGCCTCCGCGGCCGATCCAGCGGTCGCCGTGCTCAGCGCCGAGGTATTCGCGCACCGCGGCGGCGTAGTGAAGCGGGGCACCGTCTTGTTGGAAATAAAAGTCGCGCAGGTGCACGAGGGGCACCTCGTCCACAAAGTCCGTGATCAACGTACGCAACATATCCAGATACGTGCCACCGGTCAAGCGTCCCTCGATAAAATACGGCCCAAGTACTTTATTGCCTACGATACCGGCCCACACGTTGGCACTAAAACGCCCTTGATGATAGGTTTCCCTTATCATGTGTGGGTTTCGGAATGACCACCAGTGTTCGTTGTGCTGATTGTATAATCCGACAATCGTAAACAAAGCCTCATCGGTCCACATTATAACGGCCGTCGGGTGCGCAATTAGCCACTCGCAGAAGGCTCGGCGGGGCGCAGCATCTGCATCACTTAATGCTTGCACCTTTTGAAAGTGGTAAGGGTGCAACCCTGCGGTGTTGAGCAGCTTCCAGACGGCGTACTGGCTGACCTCGAAGCGTCTCGCTGCATCTCGAGTACTTGCACGAGGGTTTCTTTCGAAAAAATCGAAGATTTCTTCCTCGATCTCTACTGGCAGTCTTTGCCTTCCACGCCCTTGTGCATGTGAAGGAGAAGTGAACTGGCCATGATCTAACAGCCTTTGATTGGCAGCGAGAATCGTGGCACGGTTCGGTATCGAAGGATTCACTACACCTTGGTTGCGAAGGCGAGGGAGGCTTTCCGCTTCGTACAGTCTTTAAGCTCCGTTCAAACTTTCGCCACTTAATAAATAACATCGCACCATTTCATAATATTCGCGGTTTGAGTACATCGCGGGGGCTGCGCTATGTATCGCAATTCGCACGAGATAACACGCTTTCGCCGTGCGGAAATGCGCGGGCGACTGCGTGACCTTTGTGCGTGACTTGTCGCCGCTCCCGGTACCCCTCCGCCCTCCCCCGCAACTAGCCCTTCCCGTCTCCGCGCCGCGCGCGCAGGTGTGTTCATTGATGTTGCCGCCTTGCGTACTAGAGAAATTTACGCTAGAAATGGTTACCACGCTTTATTGATTATTGGATCGGGAAAATTATTTTATTGTGAAAATATGACCTACATATTTTATTTCAGAAATGGGTTCTATTAACGATACCTAATGCCCAAAAAAAATTTGGATAGTGATAAAAAAATCTTCCTGTATGTGTCAGGTAGTAACCGCGACCTGTCATAACGTATGTTCTGCCCATTGCCCTGCCCTGGTGCGATTCAATGTCGTCTTCCCGCGCGGTTCTGTAGCTTTTTGGACGAGGGCTGATTTATGCGATCTACCTTTAATGCTTTACGTCGATATCGAAACTATTGACTATCAAACCGCTTATTAGTTATATGAACTTAGCAAAAATTTCATAATGTACTGTGATTTTGAAAATTAAAAAATAATGTATTAGCGTATATGTGTTGTACCAAAATAGACGATGTTCAAATAATGTAATTTATGAAATACAAATCCAAAAAATATCTGTAAATATTTGAATTATATTAAGCATTTAGTGAAAATAGTGAGCAGAATGAAAAAAAATAATATTGTGTAATATATGTGTAAAATTAAATAAAAATGATATATTGCTAAGCTTTTATTTTTCTTGAGAGTATTTCAAATATGAAGAGAGTTTTTTTGATGATACCAAGTGACGGGACGAATTTCATCGCGCCCACCCCGCGCGGTCGAAGCGCGGAGTCCGGGTTGCCGCCACTCAGCGACCGCGTGCGTCTAACTGTCATGGCAAAATACGCTCTATGCGTTTAGCTTTTACGTTTAGATATAAATGAGCGTTCCGGGCACCCGGGCTAGCCTGGCTTAAACTTTGCCTACGCGGCGGCACACGATGACGAGGAATTTAAATGTTGTTGCCATAAATGTACATGAAGGCGTGGTAAATGGGCGGTCACTTTTACAAACTTTCTCCTCTTGAAACTGGGCGCTAACAGTTGCAGTGTCACTCAGAGTTTTAAATCGCAAAGACTGTCACTCTGAGACACAAGTTGACGGTTATGAAAAACTGGCGATGATCATAATTTTTATTATAAAACTGACACTGGCAGAAGCCTAGTGGCCGCCATAAAGGAAATAATAATAAGTCGCTTGCCTTATTCCAGCGTGACCATGGCTCAGTTTTTAACCGACTTCAAAAAAGGAGGAGGTTCTCAATTCGACTGTATGTTTTTTTTGTATATAATTATGTTACGCGATAACTCCGGTATTTGTGAACCGATTTTCATGATTCTTTTTTTGTTGGAAAGGGGGTACTTCCATAGTGGTCCCATTTCATTTTGAAGGAAATCATCCACCTCTAAGGGTGGCTGTTCACGCATGAAGATTCATTTTTATAAATAGCAACTAAATTTTCTTAAAGAGCAATTATTTTATTGGTTGATTTCGCTATTTCTCCAATTCAACGCGTTTCTATCGCAATATTCTTTGAGTAGTGGAACCGATTTTTATTATCTACAGTGTCCTGTATAGTGGCGAATTAAAGGATATTTCAATAAAACTTTTCAAATAGATGTCATTCCACGTACTTTTGATGTCGGTCTTTTTTGGTACTCTGTACTGAGATTATTGAAATTTGACTAGCCAGAAAACATACACATAGAAGAATCCGTTAGGTCCGCTAGTTCGTTCTGTACCAACTAAGCAGTTGGCATAGGCCTGGCACGGTTTAGTCCGTCGTTTGTCCGCCTCTCAGATGGCTTCCACGTCAGCCATCTGAAAAGACTGCCGTCCACTAACTAAAACGGCTAAGTGACAAAAGGTCAAATAACCACTATAAATATAAAAAATAGAGAACAAATTTCTCTTTCAGAAACCGTTAAAATGAATTCACGTGTTCGACTTATCGGAACTTACCCCAACGTTGCATAGCTTAAATATCAGCAAACAATGTCAATATTATAAAACTGGGTTATGTTTTTTCTGATATCTCAAAAAAATATTTTGTCACTTACCAGCGTTTTGGTTAGCGGACGACAGAAGAACTGTCCCCGAAAAGTGAGCTAGGGTTCGATACCCTATAGGACCGATCACCGTCGGAGTCGCGGAAGAATGCGTAAGCGTCCCTGTGACTCCGGCACATGGTGAGAAGATGGAACACCGTCAGGTTTTAGTCGATAGGAGTCCGACATAACCCTTCGCCTCCTCGGGCGGAGGGTATCCATGAGATTTTCCTGACGTTAAAAAAAAGGTACGCACAGTTTGCTGGAAGACGTTGGTTCGAATCCAGCCGTATCGGTGACGACCAGAAAGTTGAAAACGGCGCGCGACTCCGACGTCATCGTGTGATATCCTACAACAGACGCAGGGAACAGGGAATCAGTTTTTTTTTAATTCGTTATTTATTTAGGGGCAACTGGGAATTACGTGTTTGATCCATAGATGGTTTGAGCCTTTGTAAAGGCAAGACTGTCCCGCACTTAATGATTATTTGATTTCAAGGGTCTGCATGGTCATGGCCCTTAATTAGGGCGCAGCTTTTATTGACTTTTATATAAGTCTCCCTAATTAGGGACCTTAACACCCTAATGACGCATTTACACCAAGTCGTCAGGGAACTTTGGTTTATAATAATAATAAGCAGGTAAACACTAACTAGAGCATTTGTGTCTCTTCGTTAGACTGTTGTGTCTTTTTTATTTGGTTACCATAAAGTTATACCGCTTAAACATACTCTGAACTAATAAAAAATAACAATACAACAAATAAAAAATAACGAACCAATTATATTGTACAAATAAATGAATTTGCTTCAGTAGGTATAGTTATTCATGTTCATACCATGAAGGCAGTTTCACGTACATTTGTTATAGTTGTAGTTTTCGGGTTTGTATACTGCGAAGCACCTATAAAAAGCAATGATAAGCCGGAGAAGTTGGAAAAAGGACGCATGGTCGGTGTAGACACGGTACACGACATTCCAATTAACAAAGACACGATTATATCTCGAAATTTCGTTGACAATTCAAAATTGGACTGGAAAAATGGAAGAAAAGGTGGTATTTCTATAATTTCTGCTATTACAGATGTTCTATGCTATCTTTTTGTAATATATCCGCAGTGTGATGTAAATGCTTTTACACCATATTATGGAAAAACCCGTGATGTTTTGAAGGTAGGTTTTATATGTATAGCGCGTTGTTATCAATGCCTGTGATGTAATTGAAATAAGCGTACCTATTTAAAAGTGGTGAGAAGTATAAAGAATCACCCTAATTGTTCGACGACAAGACAGTATAATAAGAATCTCTTTAAATTAAGAATTTCTTTTTTTTAATTGATTTGCTTCTGATTGATCCAAGGTTGCCAACTAGATAAAGCAAATTAATTAATGTCGCTAAACTTGTAAACTTGAAAAAATCTGAAGTTGTCGCTAAAATTGTATTTTCACTCCATATGAAAAATCGGTTCATTTAATTGGCAAGAACACTTTAGAATCAATACACCTACGATTGAGTAGCGCGTTCACAAAGTCAGCTAAGTTAAAATAAAGTTAAATGTTAAAAGTTGAAACCTAATTAAATTGGCACCAAAAAAGTAGATAGCTAAATGTTTTTGTCGCTAAACAGAAATAAAATGCTCGCTTTTGTTGTCAAAATACGACGACGAAATTTATATTCTAAAGGTAACGTCACTAAATCGCTATAATACCTGCGGAATAATAATTGAGTTGTCCTGATGAATTGATTACCGACAACCACATTCAAGATGTTGTTCCAGTTAATTATAATTAGTTGTGTCACACCTTAAACATTGTAAACGCATTAAGATTTATTGTTATCTTTCATTCAAGGAAAACACGTAAACGTAAAAAAAGAGGACGAACGTGAGCCAGATTGGTCATACAGTTCATTCCCACCTGAAGTGAAAAACCATGTTATCCAGTTTAAGAAAAACATGACCGAATGTTTAAAAGAGGTTCAGGCCAGTGACACTAGGACAGTGAAGCGCCTGTCTCCAAAACAGGAGTCGCCTGTCCATGGAGAATGCTTAATCGCATGTGTTTTGAAGCGGAATGGAGTTATTGAGAATGGAAAAATTAATAAAGGTAAAGAAGTCTAACATATGTACGTAAGAAGATAAAAATTGTTCCATATTAGGCAGGCGCTAAAGTCGCAGCTCCTGATTGGTCAACTCAAGGTCAATTAATTTTACCAGAAATTAATATTACCAGAATTTTTTCATTGTGAATCCACCCTAAGATACGGTGATTAGAGGAGTCACACAGATAGAAAAACGAATGTTGCCAGGCTCTTTGAGTCGAAAACTACGTTTCGTTAACTGAAAAGTTACATTTTCGTTTTATTAAATCAAAATTACTTATATATATTAACGATTTTTTAATAAGCCTAAATTAATTATTTTGTTAAGTCTAAATCCTAATAATAAAAAAGTATATACGCCCAAGAAAAGTCCAAGCTTTAACCAGTAATTGGTTGATTAAATTTTGTTTGCATCTTCTCCAAATAGTGTCCAATTTGGGTGCGTTCGTAAACTATTTGAGGTTTTACAGAAACAAGGTAGTTAATTTTCATAAATCTCATTGATCATTATTCTCAAAAGTTACTTAATTGTGTTATTGCCGCATATACGCAAGAGGGTCAAACTTAACGTAAAATGTAAGAAATAACAACCATCTGGCAACTGTATTGATGATGTATAAAAGGGTTTTAGACGGAATATAACTTGTATTGCATGCAGCAGAGATGGGCAGTGGGTTAAAACCTAATCGTTTTAACCCAATTTTACCCAAAATCGTGGACAGAAACGGCGAATACAGATTTTGGTATTATCCCATACTTATTATAAATTTTGATTACCAAAAAATATTTTTCGGACGAAAATGAGGCGACTCCACATAATAGCCACCTTGCAATCCTGTGGATTCCTACTAGTATGAATGGAAAAGGATGCACATTAGGAATAGTAATTAATGTACATTTATTCCATTAGTACATTAGTGAGATTTTTATGGAGATCGATACAAGTGCATACGATCCAACGACTTTTTTATCGATTTATTCAAATGAGATTTTCAAGCGAATCGGTTGCTTTGAAATGCAAATCGAATCATCTAGATCAGAAAGCAACAAACATTTTATGATTATTATTAAATTTGAGCAAAGCTCGATTTACAATATCTAGTTGAAAACAGTTTTTGTCCTCGATTTCGGAGGTTAATGAGCTTTTAACCCGATTTAACGAAGCGCATCTCTGCATGTACGAAATACACCAGGGTAGGCGATTTTTAACAAATCGTAAGTTGTGAAGTATACAGAAATATTGATTTACAGCAAACCTCATAAACTTGGTGAGCAAGTTTTATGCAAAAGATACAAAACTAATGAAGAAACTTGAGAAGAACATAGACCGCTGCATTGAGCTGAGTCTTAGAATCCGAGATGAGTGCGCACTGGCAGCCCACCTGAACGAATGTACTAACGACCTCATGGCTAGTAACAAGCATAAAATCGTAGTAAATTATTAAAAACACTTGTAATTCATCATCTGAGTCTAAATAAATTAACAACTAGACATTTTTGAAAATTAAGGTGCCGATATCGTCATTCGCATTCCCTGTATTGTCCTTTTCCTTTTCAACTATTACACTATTAGTCGGTCTTTGGCAATCATGCTTTAAGTATTACATCGCGTCACTAACATGGTACATCCAAACACGCACTAACGCGGGAAAAATAACATGACGCCACCGTCTATGCGAAAAAGCACGGAACTAAATCGTGCGTGTCTTCACGAGTTCTTCTTCTGCTTGCGTTGGCCCGTGTACCCACGGCGTAGAAATCTGCCTTCCGAGCAAAGGCGTTCACGAGTCTTCCGCTTTGCGTTGCGGAAAACCTTGCGCGCATGTGCGGCGCCTTGCCTTTGTTTGGCTTGTCGACACTCTTGAACCGGCTGCTGTTCTGTGATTGGCCAGTGGTGCTGTCCTCCGCAAACGTACCTTGTTGCTTACATGGAAATATCAAGCTTGCTAGATATCAAATTCACGTAACCCAAAGAAATCTAACGCAAAGCAAGCGCCCGGCGCAAGCGAGCGACTTGTGAACAGTCTTACCTGCGCGTACGCGACAGAACTTTACGTATACGCGAAGCGAGTCACGCGAGGTAGCTAAAAACGCAAAGGAAAGACTCGTGAACCCGGCATTAGATACCCACTGGCGGATTTACCCTAAGGCCCAGTAGGCTCGGGCTTAGGGCAGCCAATCGTGACAAAAAATTCACTGATGATGACAAGAAACAACTACCTCTGTCTGGCAGATAGCGATAAAATCAAAAACTACTGGACGGATTTTGGTTTCCACCAATAAACAGAGTGCTTCATGAGGAAGAATTAGGTGTATAATTTAGGGTTTGTGTAAGTTGGCTGAAATATGACGATAAAATTAAATGTTGAAGATGTCGGAAAAAATCTTGCTGGCTGGGGCCTTTAAAGTAGTCAAGTTTTCGGGAGAGATTGAAGATTTTTTTTAAATAAAACTACAAATTTCAAAATTTGTAATAATAAAATGTGTAATTATTACTTGATTGCAATTGGCAATTAATTGCCGTAATAACAATATTTTTTCTATGAAAAGCAAAAAAAAACTTCACAGCTGCCAATCTTTCACATCTAAATAGATGTTTCAATATGTTGTTTTGAGTTGTGTGATGTTTTGAGTCGGCTCATATGGATGTGACACCGACCGCTGCCGCTGTCGCCGCGCGCGTTTGCCCGCGCCCCGCCACTCGTTTTTCCGCCCCGGCGGAGACGTCACTAGTAAGTACGTTGACCCCTCAACGTCATTACGCTGCTGTTGCCGTTGCTACCCAATCCACTGCTCCACAACCACAACCCAGGCAACCAACGGAGGGGAAGAAGAAAAAGCGGAAACTCATCTCTGGAGCTGTGTCATCAGTACCACCGAGAGGAGTAGACCAGTGCGACGAGGACGGCTTCAAAAGAGGTGAAAAACAAAAAGAAGTACACTAGCCGTAACCTTAGTGGCACCGCCCCGATTGGCCCCAATCATTTATTGCGTCCAGCGGTACCGACGCCGGTGCTATACGTGTCACGACTTCATTACTCCACAAAGTCTGCGGATATTGTGGAGTACATACGAGTGAAAGCCAAAGCTGCCCTGAGAGTTGAGCAGTTAGAGTCCCGCCACAAAGTGAATTTTAATTCATTTGCGGTGAGAGTACCAACACAACATCTGTCGACCTTCATGAAGGAGGACTTTTGGCCGAAGGCCGCATGTTGAGGCGTTTCCAAGGACGGCTATCGGACACCCACGTTGCGTCACACGTCGCGGTCCATACGTGTAAATAAATTAATTGTTTTTATCATATTATGTATGTTAGTCTATAAGGTTTGTGTTTTATGGGTCTTTTGTAACTTGAAAATAAATAAATAATATTATTTCATATAACTCAATGTCGAAAGCATCTGTCTCTATTTTCCGTTTCTGTATTTGACCAAATGAGAGAGATTCGATTAGCCTTAATTTTGAATTAATTTGATAATAAAGATAAAAATTTGATAATTAATTCGATTCGCGATTGAAATGAATTGATTAAAAAAATCGATAGATCGTATTGAATTGAATCCATCTCCATAAAAATCGAGTCCCTAATTCGTTCCTAAGCGTGACAACTGCCTAAAAAGCTGAAAATGGCGTGTTTTTGAAGTTACGCGTTGCCCTGACTCTGGCGCACAGACTAAAAATCGTCGCGCAAAAGACAGCCATAGATACAAAAGTTGAAGTTACGAATACAGCTTTTACAAAGATTATTTATTTTTATTTTAAGTATATTATGAAGAAAAAACGAAGACAGAAATACTGATGAAGAAAGTTAGAACTATATTCCTCATTTTAAACCAAATTACAAAAGACTTTATCCTGAAAATTCCACTAATTACGAATTCAAAGTTTTTGTGCAAAGTGACAGAAGATAATGTGATTTAAACTCACATGGAACTACACACATGGACTATGGAAACTAAAGGACATGTTACGTTGACATATATAAATCAGACGTTGTATGTATATGATGCATTTCGACGTCGAAAACATAAACATGTTATTGTCTTTTTTTAACTATTACGTGCCGTCTTAAGCCAAAAGAGATAGCATTACATTGGTCTATGTCAAACACGGGAATCTAAAATATGTAACGTCATCTTAAATGCCAACCATCCATTTCGCAGTACATGAGTCATATGATACCGTTGTCAAAGGGAAGTACATCAAATGTCAAAACGAATGTTTTTCCAAATGTACTATTGAATTATTCGCATGTATTATAATTAAATTCGACAAAAATTAGGTATTAATAAAAAACGACCCTGGAGAATTAAGGGATGTGGCTTTAGGAAAGTGCAAATCAATCGAATGTTACATTGCACAGACATGTGTTATTTTTTTGTCTATAAATCACACAATAGCCCAAATATTTCGTGTAATTAGACTTATTTAAGTAGTTTATTTATAAATCTTGCCAAATTTTGCTTTTGTTACTTTAAATTGCCTGTTTGTTTGTATATTTTGATGATTGTTGTTAACGTACATGTTACCGATACATATTATTAAAATACATATTATCGATATTCTGTTATTAAAGCAATTCACTACGAGGTTTTTATTGTTTTATTATTATTTTTTATTATTTCAAGTTTTCCTACAAATGAAAAAAGGAAGAAAGAATGGTTGGAAATCATATATAGGTATAGATAGGGCAATGTTGTGCATTAAAAAAAAATAGGTAAGAGTGCGCATGTCGCCAACAAAGTGCACAACAGTTTGGTGACTATTACTAAATAGGTTACCAGTTAAAATTGCTTGATAGATTGATTTGTTTAAGAAACGTGAATACTAGAATCCGCGGAAATCTAAATAGACTTGTACTTAACAGTTAGTTAAAAGACGTTATGTAAATATGTACTAAAATGTAGGTTAACGGCGTACCTCTTAAAGTAATATTTTATGTAGTAAGTACAGTTAATACTATATAATGTTATATACCAGTAAAGTAGGTATAATTAAGAAAGAATGCGCATGTCGCCAACAAACTGCACGGCAGTTTGGTGACTTTTACTAAATAAGTTACCGGTTGTAATCTTGAAAATAAATTTAAAAAAAAGTTTAAAAATGTTTGTTGACATCTATAGTAATATACCACTTGAGATTAAATTATTAGACTTGTGTTTGTTTAGGCATACTTTGGTAACAGTAAACTAAAGAAACGAAAAAATAGTTTCAACATTCAAGCCATACATTTGCATGTCGATAATGACTTATCGATAGATTATGGTACAACATCAATCCGCCATTTGTAATTATCAAATTTTGGTTATATGCACGTTGATTCTGTAGTTAGGGCAGCTCCTTTCTTTTATTTCTTTTTCCATCCTCTAAGGAATGAATGTAAATCATAAATATTGATTCCCGCCGCTTAAAAAACTTTTTAAAAAACACAAATAAGTGAACTTAAGTTATTTAAGAGAAAATGAAAACATAATGTATTAGAATTAGAGCCAGAATGGAAAATATTATTGAGGATCCCGATAATTAAACGAAGACATGGCTCAAAGGACTTGTATCCAAGCCAAAGCTATTAATTAAAAAAAAAACAACTGACAAATGACAGACAATGTTATCAACGCATGTGGAATTTTGGATCATATATTTTTCGTAGTTCCGTACAAAGAGAATTTAAGCACTACGTTTAGTTCCGTACAAGATGTAATTGCAGTCTGTCGTCTGATTTAGGTGCTCCTTTCTCAAATAACCTTACTATGCATTAGTTTCCTTAAAGTGTTGGGAAGGTAATTTAATTTCGTTATTAATCAGATGACAGGTTCTCGTGGCAGTTATTTTTGGTGATTTCAGGATTTGTGGCTTCAGTCGTAGTTGTCTTTAAATGCGTAAAACAACTGTGGAAATAGTTGTACGAGGTTTGTTATCCAATGGTTTGACAAGGAACTTTCTGTATATGTACGATTTCATGACGAATCAATCTATATTTCCTTGTAGTGTTTCTGATCTCATGATCGTCGATCGTCTGGTGTTTGTTTCCAGTTCTCAGGGCTTATTTTGTAAGAATTAACGCGCATGAGATAACTTGCTAATTACTTTCTTTTTTTTTGTCTCTTCGCTTTTGATGTCAGGATTAGAGAGACAAATTTAGGTGAAAGTATCAAGTTAGCTTTTGTACTGTACATACAAATATTTGGTTGTTGTTTTAAATGAGGTGTAGTGTATACTGTTCGTTTTTTCTTTTCTTTTCATTATATATTTGTCTTTAGGAAATAAAGGGGATATATTTGGTGGGTCAGTCCCTCAGGAGTGATATAATAAATCTGTGACTGGCAGTTAACCCTTTCAAGACGACTTTTTTCAATGAAGAGCAGCTGAAATTTGCAAATTGAGTATCAGTACTGACATGTTTTGTTTAATTTTGATGAAACCTGAAAAATTTTCCGGCTTCATTTTGATTGATTTTCAGGCATGGGATTTATAGTCCCAACAGTCTTTTACGGTTGGTACATTATGA